TCCTCTCTTTACTTACCACAGTTCATAGGCCCCTTAGTTGTTATGATGCAACACTAGAACTACATGGTAAGTAGCTTAAAAGTGACTTGGATTAAAATAGCCTCTACAGACACACACAAAAAAATAAAACCCCACATAAAAATGTTTTAAGCCTGGATCATTTTAATCATCTGGGTTTCAGGGTGGCCTTCCTCACCTCTGCATCAGTGTAAGAAAGAGGATTTGAGACACTGGCAGGGTTAGGAACAAGCAGCTGAGGGAAGAGAGATGAAAAGGTGGAAATTCAGTACAGTCTCACCACTTAAGAGGATATAGGTAAATCATACCTCAATTTGGGAGGGAGTGGTGAAATGGATCTAGAAACCACCTTTTTCATGCCAAGAAGAGCACCAAATATTCTTACGTGGTGGCAGAAGTACGCTCCATGGAAGCTGACAGTCTCCAGCACATGCCAGAGATACAAACCAGAGCATTATGTAGGCAAACATCACTAGACTGTAATTCAGCTCAAGTTTAAGACACCTAACTTCTGGTGTCGACATATGCAGGGTCTCAGGTCCCATTATGATGAGTAAAAATCCAGGACTCTTCAGTTGCCACGGCATAGGTGCCTAAAGCCATCTGAGGTGCTCTGTCATCTCCAATACACCCATCCAAGACTGGCAGATGTGACGGGGGGGTCTAAGAGACCTGCACCTCCGTGGGATGGCAGCTGGAGGCCAGACAGAACACTCACAGGGTCTAAAATGACACTAAATACCTATATTCAGGCAAACAAATATTATTCAAGTTAAGACTGCCAATGGAGTCTGGAGAATGATTCAGCCCAGCTGACTGGCTCTCTAAACTCCGCTGATTTAAATGTATTCCATTGACTACGGTGGGAGCACTGACTTCCAGCACACACCTTTAAATGTAGGTTTCCTAATTTTGAACTGAATCCCACTTCACCCTGACTTGGATTCAAAGATGAATTTCCTTAATCTTCTCAGACCTGAAACAGGACAACAGGACGCAACTCCTTGCGTCCCTTTAGAAAATGGGAAATACCAGGACCAAATCCTTATGCCCAATGATATCTTACAGAATGCCTTCTACTTGAGAATAAGAGAGTAAGACTCAACTATTGCTACTCAGAAGATACTGACTTCAGTATTAATGTTCAGGTACATCTAGATAAAAAATAATTCAAACAAAACCCATGCAGTAGGGATTCATTTTGTGAGATCACCATTTCCGAACCTTCTTCTTGGAAGCTCATCCTTCTATGTAATGATTTTTATTATTTTTTTATTATTTGAATTTTAAAATAACAACTCAAGTACAAAGATAGTATGATTTCCCAAAGGATAAAGGGTCTTCTACCAATGTAAGCAATTGATTATAGCTCTTATTTTAGATGCAAGTATATCTTCCTGTATATCTATCAGTTGAAAATATCTGATGAAACAAGACCTGCGCTACTCTTTTGTTGAGAGTGGAAGTCACATACAATGATACTTAAGGTATATTATCTCATCTTATACGAGTTTCATCTAGTCAAGAAATGGCAATATGACTATATGGTGAAATACACACATAAAATGATTCACAGCTACTTATCAATACTCACCTGCATTTCATACTTCAGGGTCATGTGGAAGCACCAAGATCCCAATCCCACAGCTGAAAACAAATCAAAACTACGGTTAGCATAAAAGTCTACATGTAAAACATCCAGGTACATTAAGTTAAATGCATGAACTTTACTGGGAAAAAAATCAGAACATCAGCATCCCATTTCAGGGACAAACCCTCAATTTTCCACAGCCTTCTATTTTACACTTTAGTCAGTGATGTCCTTGAATTTTTTTCTTTTGG